TTACTCAACACTAGCACATGTGAGTTGTGACTATAACTATTCTCTATCTTTGAAAAGCTGCCATAAATCGTTGCATATGTAACCATTGCTCGCTCACTTAGTATGAAATAAGAAAAAAAATTAGTAGGTATCATTGATTAATGAAATAGATCAAAGAGTCGTATAAAAGTAAAACATGGATTTAAATTATAATCAAGCAAATTTTATATACTTACCTGTTCGAGCCTAGAATGTACTAGGCAGTTTGATGGCACGAGAGAGACATATGTTCCTGATGGTGGGTCGTGAACCCTGCAAAACAAGGGTCTGTGTGTGGTTGCCCAGTACATTCTTTGATGCTTAAATTAGAGAGAGAAGTGAGAAGTTATGTTATGATTAGAGAAAGAGAGGGAGGAAGTAGTTGAGTTTGCCATAATGCTCTCATTGGGTATTTATACTCAACTAAAGGAGAGTTTTGGGCATTAAATGACGTGTCAAGCACTCTAAACCTACCTTACCTCGTACACGACCGCCTACGGTGGTAATTAATGCTTAGTCCTACTTATACCTAGGTAAATCTGTAAATAGTAATGCGAGGAGGGCAGCCGCCGGTTGCTAGGCAGCCCGCCTTTGATCCTGCATAGTTCCACCGCCCGCCGATGCTGTTTTTCACCGATTACCCTGTTTCTCTTTGTTCTTAATTTTAATAGTTTATAGTTTATTTTTAATAGTTAGAAATGACCGTCACGTAAACAAAAGTTAACGGAATTGGACGAAGAGTGACCAATGTGAACGATTTCAGTAAATTGAAGTACCACCAATGAATTTAAATATTTCGAATGATCAAACTTGAACTTTTTTGTAATCTCAGTGACCACCCATGCAATTAACCTTCATTTTCTACATATTTATTTCCACTCTCAATTTTTTAAGAACTCTCCTCGTAACTTTATTGCCATATTATATTTTTTTTCATATTTTCTCTCTATGATTTTCTCATAACTTCTCATTCCATACTATTCTTCCCTTTATTTTCTACTTTTTTTTTAGTCTCAATATTGATACTAAATGGGAACTAAGGAAGTAAATAAACACATCTCTATTTTTTATTGTCAATTTTAATGATTTTTTCAGGCTTACCAACTAAACATGTTTTTATTTTTATTTTCATGTTGTTGTACCTCTATTGTCACAAAAGTATTCAAAATCAAAATTTTACGTAAAATAAAAAATGGGGGTAAAATTTGAATTGTAAAATCGTATGATTTTAATGTTCATATAAAATCGTATGAATTGTAAAAACGAAGACAAAATAATGTTAATAAGGTAAATCATGAATAATACAAAGACACATAAAACTTACAAAGATAATTTATCAACGTTAATGTTCAAATTTATCAAGGATAATGTTGGAAATTGGTGAATCGGTGAATGGTGATGATTAATGCATTGATATGAGTTGATGATGGTCAATGGGTTTTAGTGAGAGAGAACTAGATGATTTTGATGTAGGAGAAGAACAAAAGCGTTATATTTTGCTAATTTAGGGAGAAATTAGTAAAACTGACTCAAAGATTTGATATTATTCATATAACTCGGTTCGAGTTGGTCTAATTTGAATGAATTCATCATGGACCACAAAATCGTTAAAATCTTTGAAAACTATAAGATTTAAAGGATTAAAATCGTGAATAGTATAAGATTTTAAGGTCCATAGATTTTATAGTGAAATCGAGATTGGGACATGTAAGTAATATCATAAAACCGTAAAATTTTAGCATTTAAATTGAAATCTTAACTAAACTCACATCATATTCATAAGAACTCTAACGCTAGTAGCACAAATCCCCCTCTTACTCAATGATGTATAATTATAACATATATATCTCTATGTATCTATCAAGCCCAGATCTCATATGATTTGATCCAAATCAGGTACGCCAGCAGATTTATATTTCTTAAGGCCAAAGGGAATGTATGTCTACAAATTAATTTCTCAAGCATGCCCTACCGTACCCACTTGGTAGGCAAGAGAGAATTCTTTGGTTGGCGTATATTGCGGGCAATTCACATGCTAAGATCCAAGATTAGGGAACACTGATTGCCAATTGATTAGTATTATAAGTCTAAATCAAGTACAATTTTAGAAAGGATTTTCCAGTTACAATTTCATTCCCTTTTCTGCTTCCTTCAACATCTCCATCAACTTTGCTGAATATTAATGAACAATAATGTAAATATATGACAAGTGCTCAAACAAATACAGTTACGTTTTGTCTCTCCCATTGTCACACTGTATATATATTCATGTGAATTGAGTCTTAATTTGTTGATCTTGAAAGATGTTCAATGATTAAAAAACTGATCGTACTGGTGGTTCGACCAAAAAAATTATATCGGAAGCGAAACTTGTAGGCAGTGTTTAGCGGTACGAAACAGTTGAACCACGGTTTCAACATAAAATACCCTACCGTTGACTTTTTCGATACATTATCCGGTACAGTATTTTAATCATTGATTTTTTTGTGAGGAGGTTAATATTTATCAATAAAAACAATTTATTATAAGCCTGAAATAAAATGTCCTCCGTGACCGTTCAATACATCTAGGGTTAACCACGACAGTCCACTCACTTCATATTTAACCACTCGACTTGCTGTGTTACACTGAGATAAAAATACGTACAAAATACATGTAACATATTTTTAATAGTTCACCAAAAGGAAAAAAACAAAGACAAGAAAGAGCAAATATTTCATTTGATCTATATTCAAGCTGGATTATTTATGTTGTAGAATAATTACCCATGCAGATGACCTGAAAAAAGCCTGTATGCCTATAGTCACTTGTTATCGTGATAATAATAATTTAGTTGAACGAATATATAAATGATGCACATATTTTACATACAATTTTTTTTTAGATAAGGGTGACATATAAGATAGGAAATTGAATTAATGATCCTTATTGGGGGTGTTCAAACGGTTTGGTTACCGTGGTAACCGTTTAAACCAGTACTATTTGGATAATTTGGTTTGGTTAATTTGGATAATTGGTTCGGTTTGGTTAAAGTTTTTAGCTTGTTTGGTTTGGTTTTAGACACTTCTAACCAGTCAAACCAAATTAACCAGTTAAGTAATTAGTCATATATCTAATATATATTGTATACACATACTTAATACTTTGCATAACCACTCAAGAGTTAAACGTTCATCCTTTTTAGACTCATAAAATATAAAGCTCAATATGGCTCCTATAGTGTATATTTGTATATGTAAAGTGTAGACCACAACATATGGACGCCTAATTTAGATAAATCTCATACATTATGATGGATGAAAACTTGAAAGGAAGGTCATTTTCAGCCTATGATAATTGCTAAGAGACAAGTCCATTCACACAAACACAACCATTCATTAACCCATACCATTGTCATGAAATTTTGTTATGTGAATACTTCTATACTAATCGTAAGATAATTTTCTTAGTTGCATGTAATTATGTTAAGGGTCAACTATAACTATGTGTTGATTGTTATGTTTTATTCATTATATAAATTGCGAATTGATGCATTACCGAAAATTTTTCTCACTTAATGATAATGTGATTTTATATTGGTTAATCTGGTTAACCAATTAACCAAACCGATTAAACTTTAATTTGGTTAATTTGGTTGTTGTATTAGTTTGGACGGTTTGGTTATGATATTGTATTACATGGTTAATGAAATTTATCCTTATTTGATTTGGTTATAACCATGGTAACTATTTGAACACCCCTAACCCTTATGGGTACGTCATCCGCTAGTAAATTGAGCTAAAAAAAAAACAAAATGTACAACTCTAGTTTCGGCAATCTCTTGAGGCTCTTGAAAAACAAACACACCGTGCTTTCGTGTTGATGATCCACCGCGAGTATCTGGAGAAAGGAGGTGAACAACCACACTGTAGATTTGAGCTGAGACGCGACCTTCCTGTAGCCATTGTCGCAAGCAAGTTGAAGACCCTTGAGTGCACCCCAAATTGCTTATGATCCGTACAAGTGGTTGCACATTTTTCTCAGGTTTTTTTTTTGGAGTAAGCCCATATAACAAGTGGTCTAAATTAAAACATACTGTTACATTTTTGTCTTTATCATTGTCGCAACACTACACTCATGTGTGTGAAAGTGTGGTCTTTGTTTCATCCCATTTGTATAATTGCTAGCTAGATTCCAATGGCACAAACAACTGCCCAAACCATTTACAGATTGGCAAAACCGCTTTTATTTGTGTGTGCATGTATAATTAAGTACGAAAGTCAGTAGCTAAATCATAGACTGCTTAGTTTTACTGTATCGCTTAATTAATAGTGGGTAAGTAGAGGAGTATGTCGCCATTAGGCAACCACTTGCTTGCTTGCAGGATGGCTTAATTCCAAAAAAGCACCAAATAAACCATACATCTGTTGAAAGAAAAGGAGTAGAAAACGACCCTCAATAAAGCCAAATTGGTGTTTAATTATTGACTAATGCAAATCTAATCAAGAAGACAACTCATTATCAGTCGATCGAATCTTGTCGATGGAGATTTATTTTATGTATTCAAAGGAATTACAGTTGTGTATGTGTTGGCCTGCCCACAAACGGACGATTCTCTTTTCTAGCCCTATATAGTAATGTGATTCCTGAAGTAATCTTATTGCTCTTCCACTCTTCTTCTGTGCTTCAATTACGTACTCAAGAGGAAGGAACCCAAGAGAGAATCTTTTTCTCTTTCTCTCCCTCCGAGCGCTATATCTCACGTGCAAATTTCTGCAGCTCTTTTGGTTCTTTATTTCCCCTTGAAAAGCTGTCCACCTTTTCCTTCCCTGTCTTATTGCCCGAAAGGCGTTCGATCTTTTGCCTCTGAGAAGTAAGAACCAAAACCTCTCTCTCTCGTGGTCTCTCCGATCCCCATGGCGCTGGAAGCGGCGATCTTCTCGCAAGACCCCTTTGGTTACCCACCATTATTCAAGGACTACTATGGCATCGACGGCAAAATAATGTTCAACGATTCCATCTCCACTACTCCACCGCCGCCTACGCAGCAGGAGCCGATTCATGGAACCAGCAGCAGCTGCTGGGATTGTTGTTATTACAATTACAACAATAATCACCGCCACTCTACCTCCTCCCCCGATCCCTGCACCAACGGATTCGACGGCGCATTTTTCAACCCGCCGCCGCCTGTGACGGCGGCGTCCGCATCCGTTCCCCCTGCAGCACGGCGGAAGCGGCGGCGGACCAAGAACGCGAAGAACGAAGAGGAGATAGAGAGCCAGAGGATGACCCACATCGCGGTGGAGCGCAACAGGAGGAAGCAGATGAACGAGTACCTCGCCTTGCTTCGCTCTCTCATGCCCTCTTCCTACGTTCAAAGGGTCAGCTTTTTGTTTGATTCGATTCCTCCCTCCGGCTCGAATCCTTAATTTTATTTTTTTTGAAAAATGTGGGACTAAAAATGTAAATTTTTATACTTTCTGGGGATCAGGGAGACCAAGCTTCGATAATTGGAGGAGCAATTAATTATGTGAAGGAGCTGGAGCAGCAGCTGCAGGCGATGGAAGCTCAGAAAGCAGCTAATCATCAACACGCCGAACACGACGATGATGGCCAGGCAGGATTGGATAACGGCCGTTTGCCGTCGCCGTTATTTTCTGACTTCTTCGCCTTCCCGCAGTACTCAGCTCGGAAGGTTCAGCCGCCGGAGGAGTCGGCCGACAGTTTGGGTGGTGCAGTGAGAGAGGCGGCGGTTGGAAAGATTGAAGTGACGATGGTGGAGTGTCACGCTAACGTCAAGATTCTGGCCAGGAAACAACACAGACAGCTGGTGAAGCTGGTTGCTGGGCTGCAGAGACTCGGGTTGACGATTCTTCACCTCAATGTTACCACGACCAGTTCCTCAGATCAAATGGTTCTTTACACGGTTAGCTTCAAGGTGGAGGAAGGGTGTTATTTGAACACGGTGGATGAGATCGCAGCTGCCGTCAATAAAATGCTACGGCGGATTATTGAAGAAGGAAGTTGCTAGGGCTGGAGATCGGTTCGGGTCCTAGTACCCGGACCCAAATATGCGGGTACCCGGACCCAAAAAATGTCAGTTTGAGGAACCAGACCCGACCCAGACTCGGTTCTTGGGTACCCGAGACCCAAAGTCACGGTTCTCGGGTATGGTTCGGTCACCCGAATACCCATAAGCCACCGAAGACAACTTGTTACAGCAGCTATCTTCCTCCCACCTGCTCGTTCCATGCTTGCTGAAGGATGACAGAAGGTTGGTCGGCGATTTGTTGATTGTTGATGGATGATAGTCGGCGATTTGGTGAAGGATGATTGTAGGAAGGTTTTTGTCTGCGTCTCTGCGAGAGGGAAGTGGGGAGTGGCCGCTGGGAATGGGAAGGTCGAAGGGGAAGATGAAGCTTAGGGTTAGGGCGTTAGGCTGATGAAGGCTGATGAAGGTTGGGCTGTCGGGGTCGGGCTGAGGAGTGAGGGGGGGCCGAGGGCCTTAAGGCTGGGCTGGGCCATATAATATTTGGCCTGTGGGCTGGGGTTCGGTTCCACTTCGGGTCCTTCTATTTTCGGGTCCGGGTTCGGTTTACCCAAAACCCGAAAAATAGCCAGATGCGATACCGAGACCCATTTTTCACAATGATATTTCGGTTCTCGGGTACCCAAAACCCGAAATTTTTGGTCCGATTCCGGGTTACCCATAAACCCGAACCCGAACATCCAGCCCTAGAAGTTGCTATCAAGAATGCTATAGCTAGGTAGCTGCTTATAATTATTTTGATTTTGGTCGTGGTGAATTTACTTTGCGTTGTTTTCTTAGCAATAGTAATACCTCTATTATTATTACGTGGACATTGTTGGGAATCTGTCAACAAATTTAATAGTGAAGGTTTTGTTATTTTTTTATGGTTAAATAGTGAAGGTTTTAGGTTTGTCTTCTATTAGCTAAAAAATTCACGGTATACTATAAACGCATTTTTATTTAGTTAGTAATTAACCAAATTTCATTCCAATTTGTTTGTTTAAGAGTGGGTATAGAGAAAGTGTTAAAATTATTTTGGGGAGACAGAATATACTCTCAGGGCTTTTTTTTCAACAATAAAAACAAGCTAAATTTGTCCCATTGGGAATTTGGTTGTGTGGAGAACTGACTATGCACCAGAGAGGACTGGGCCAAAAATATATAATTAGTTTATTTGTAAATATAACAACTTGTTGCAACAGACTTTTTAGTTAATTAACTGAATTGTGTATTTGTATCCGAGGGAGATGATAAATACTCAATTGCTAAAAGTATGTGAAGAATCTTATACATCCAGGTTTCCACCATGTCATCATCATACCATGGTCGGCGTCTCGGCGGCCAGGTGGCCTCTTTGACGTCTAGGTCCTGCTCATCTTTCACTTGAACTATGTATCAAGCTTAGGTTTCCGGTCTACCGGCGGGATGAAAATGAAATAGAAAACAATATTATGTGCAATAATCAGATTGACAGAGTTATCTATTTGTTTTATTTTATGTCTCATGCTTGCTTTGAATTTGTGACATATACCACCTATTCGAATAGTGATTCATCTAGACTTTGATGAATAAAATGTGAGTGCCTCTTGATCACTTGTTTTATTCTTCTTTAAAGCATCCTCTCCAGCAAGAGAGAATTGAGAATCCTCTCGACGGAAATCTCGTAGACCTTTCTCAACAATATACCGCACATCTTACCATCACAAGAATGCCTTCATATAAATCATAGTTAGAAAAATACGGTACGAAAAAATTATGTATAAAATACATACGGGTATTTTACTTCGTTTCTAAACTAATATTATATTTAATATATAGTAAGTACATTAGCAGTCATAAATATATAAAATTAATTATTAAAAAATAGTAAAATGTGACAATAACACGGATATGAAATTTTTAAACGAATAAATTACATACAAGTACTTATAAGTGTGTTAAACAGAGTATTTACTAACTATGATACCAATAGCCAAATCCAATCCTCTCTCGGTATGTTCCTTAAAAAATCCGATTCGTGCGGATTATTACTCCAACTAAGGAAGAGTCCTTGGCGAAATTGCCACATATGAAATTGAGCCTAATCTTGCAAAGAAATAGTCCAGCACCAGATGCGTCGATAAAAAATCATGATTGATAACAATTGAATAAGAATATCTGATCTTTTGATGTGGAAGTTCACACTCTAATACTACTAAGCGTTGCTCTTAGTCTTAGTCATATAACTGGAAGTTGTAACATATCTATGCTCCAGCCAGATCTCATCATGTGATCTGATCCAAACCAGGTACGCCAGCAGATTTATATTTCTTAAGGGGAAAGGGGAATATGGATGTCTACAAATTAATTTAATTCTCATGCATGCCCTACCGTACCCACTTGGTAGGCAAGATATCAGAATTCTTCGGTTGGCGTATTATGCAGGCGATTCACATGCTAAGATCCATGATTAGGGTACACTGATTACCAAATTGACTAATTAATTAAGTCTAAATCATATACCATTTTAGCAAGGATTCCCTATTATAATTCTATTCCCTTTTCTGCTAGCTTCATCCAACATCTCTATCGACTTTGCTGATGTTAATTAATATGTAATGTAATCATATATATGTGACAAGTGCTCTCAGAAAGCTAATATTCGTTCGAGGATGTATGGAGAATAATTATGCATGCAGATGCAGACATGCAGTAGCAAAACCCTCCCTAAATCAAAATTCTGTGTCTCAATTGATTAAGGTTAGCTTTAATATATATAGGGGACAATTGAAAACTAGGGTAATAATCGATTTGGTTTTGGTTAATCATTAACTGATATGACAGTTAGAGGTTAATCAATGAGTAAAAATACTCATACAGATAACCGAACCAATAAGTCTTATTGATTAACCTTCTTTTATCAGTTCAATTAGCGGTGGCAGTTAACCAATAACTACTAACATATATACATTCAACAACAAAGGTTATACCAAATCGAACCAAATATCGAACCAATAAATTCAATTTTCTTTCACGGAATATAATAAACCAAAGCAATAACCACTTGCATTGCACAAATCATCATCCAATTAAGTTAACAAGTTCGTTTACATCATTTTTAATCCACAAACATAACAATGACCAAGAATACTAAATACTAAAGACGAATAATCATACAAATAATTCAAAATAGTTTAACTACATTCTACATTGTTAAGAGAAAATAATAATTATAAAAAGTTATCAATACAACATTCATCGTGAATTCACAATATAAATCCAAACTCCAATGCATAATATTCAAACTTATTCATCCAATTAGCGAATAACAACTAGCAAGACATCAAATACTAACACCACAACATTATCATCATTAACATCAAAGAAAAAGAGATCATGAGGGTGTGAGGTTCACTCTACTATAATCTGCAAACGGGAGTTAAATTTTAAGATTACAAATTAGGGTTTAAATTTTAAGATTTTGGGCTTAGAATATAACGTAATGGATGATAATTAGCTATTTTAAGAGAGAAACATATATAGGTGAAAGAATAAATCGGGGTTAGGAGTGTGCAACAGTATTGTCTTGTCTGAAATCGGGCCAAATCCCGCTAGCCATGGGCGGAGTCATTATGTAATTGGGTGGAAACCGGGACCCACCTTCACAAGAAGGTTACGGTAATCTCTCACACTTTAAGTTTAAGTGAATTATAGTGTATTAATTTACGTAAATGGATACACTTTAATTGTTTTTCTGACTACGCTCATACCAGTAGTTATAAAACAACAATAAAAAAAAAAAAATCAGGATCATAATTGGACCATCCATATATTCATTCCATCTATGAATTATGTTCGGAAAATTCATGAGACCGAGAACTTGTCTGCAAAATATTCGACCCGATTTATGTGGGTACAATTGGTCCAATTTGGTCCCAAGTGAAACCAAACTTTTGTACACTCTTGCGTCTCGGTAGAAATAAAGAATAGCAATAATTAAGCCAAATTGGTGTTTAATTATTGAGTAATGCAAAACTAATCAAGGACCTCATTATCAGTCAATCGAATCTTGTTGAATTACGAGTTTACGACATATATATTTAGGGTACATGATATTCAAAGGAATGACAGTTGTTCTTGTATGCGTTCTCCCTAATGGCGACATCCCAAGTCTGTCCCACACCACAAAACGACACTTCTCAATTTCTAGCCTTGTACAATAATAATGTGATTCCTGACTGAAATGAAGAGCTTAATTATTATGTTCTTCTGTGCTTCAATATAATTACTCGGAGGAAGGAACCACATTCGCAGGTCCAATCTCCCAAGACCAGAGAGAATCTCTTTCTCTTTCTCTCCCTCTGAGGGCTATACTATACAGTTGCAGACGCAACCTCACGTGCAAATTTCTGCAGCTCTTTTGGTTCCTTCCCCTTAGAAAGCTGTCCACCTTTTCCCCCCTTCTTCTTCTTCTTCGGAGAAAAAGGAAATGGAGAGAGAGTTGATGATAAAAGGGGCTGTCTTTGTTTGACTACTGTTTCCCCTGTCTCTCTCTGCCTCCATTACCGTGACACAATAGCAAACCCGCTTTTCCAGTTTGCCCTCTCTGTCCCTTGCCCGAAATTCTTTTACATCTTTCTTCTATGGCGCTGGAAGCAGCGATCTACTCGCAAGACCCGTTTGGTTACCCACCATTATTCAAGGACCACTACGGCTATGACTTCCAGCAACAAGAAGAAGAGGGTGAAATCAACAGGTCGGCCTCTCAGAGCCTCGACGACAAAATAATATTGTTCAACGATTCCATCGCCACTCCTCCGCAGCAGAAGAACGGCTGGGAATATTGTTACTACAACAACAACAACAACTCCTCCCCCGAGCCTTGCAGAGTTGCAGTACTACCGCCGTCCGCCGGCGATTATTTCTACCCGCCACCACCGGAAGATGTGGCGGCGTCCACGCCCATTGCACCGGCACGGCGGAAGCGGCGGCGGACAAAGAACACGAAGAACGAAGAGGAGATAGAGAGCCAGAGGATGACTCACATCGCGGTGGAGCGCAACAGGAGGAAGCAGATGAACGACTACCTCGCCTTGCTCCGCTCTCTCATGCCCTCGTCCTACGTTCAAAGGGTCAGCTTTAATTTGTTCGATATATATATATTCCTCCGGCTCCGGCTGGAATCCTCAATTTTAGTTATAGAAAAAAAAAATATTTGGACTAAACTGTAAATTTACATTCTTTTGGGGGATCAGGGAGACCAAGCTTCGATAATTGGAGGAGCAATTAACTTCGTCAAGGAGCTGGAGCAGCTGCTGCAGGCCATGGAAGCTCAGAAAGCGGCTAATCATCATCAACAACATGCTCAAAACCACGACCATGGTCAGGCAGGGTTGACTGATAACGGCCGTTTGCCGTCGCCGTTATTTTTCGAGTTCTTCGCCTTCCCACAGTACTCAACTCGGAACCAGACCCTGCAGGCTCAGTCGCCGGAGGAGTCGTCCGGCAACGGGATGGCGCCCGACAGTTTGGGTGGTGTAGCGAGGGAGGCGGCGGTTGGAGAGATAGAAGTGACGATGGCGGAGAGTCACGCTAACGTCAAGATTCTGGCCAGGAAACAGCACCGGCAGCTGGTGAAGCTGGTCGCTGGGCTGCAGGGACTCGGGTTGACGATTCTTCACCTCAATGTTACCACGACCACCTCGGATCAAATGGTTCTTTACACGGTTAGCTTCAAGGTGGAGGAAGGGTGTTATTTGAACACGGTGGATGAGATCGCAGCTGCCGTCAATCAAATGCTACGGCGGATTATTGAAGAAGGAAGCTATACTGGTCAAGCTTGTTAGCTAGCTGCTTTTTTAGGTGGCGGAATCAATTAATTAAGCTGTAACGAACTTTTATTCCCTTTGGTTTTGGTCGTGGTGAATCTATTTGGTACTTAATTTCTTAGCAATAATCGCTCTAAAATTAATTATGTGGATATTGTTCGATATTTTATCACAAGAATCTCTGAGCAAAATTAATTAATCGAAAAGTAAGGTCTCTCCAGTCTCCACCTGCTTGAAAATTCACTATATTATTATTATTAAATATAAATGCATTTTAATTTGGTCAATTAGTAACCAAATCTTCTTTCCATTTAGGCAAATACAACTGTACATTCACAACTATCAAGTTAGTGACATATCCACAACTATCGAAATACAAAAAAAAAGTGTTAACTAACTATTTATTAATATAACAATAAAAAAGTAGCACAATGATTACTTTTAAATTATGAATAAAATATTTAGAAGATTGTAAAAATTTGTAAATATAAAACATTAATTACTAAAAATATAAAAAAGTTCATCTGATCAACGGGTCAGGTAAAATATGTTTCAATGTTTCGTTCAATGAAAGGATTCTAGCCAATTGAAAGGACCTTCTAATCAATCCGGAGATCATTTCGAGAACTGCAATAAGAATCAATGCCTGCATCTTGAAGTCGGGCATATTCCACTAGTTGTTGTATTCTCATAATCATGGTTGTCACTTGTCAACCCGCAGGCTGATCGGTCAGTCGAACCACTTCGGCCCGCACCCAATGTCATGAGTCATGACCGGGCGACACAAACCCAGTACCAGTAGTCAGTTGGCTCGGATGTGGTCAAACACAGAATATCCCAATCAAACCCATCGAAATCGACCAACTCAACCGACTGATTATGTTTGCGAAATAATATTGGCAATCAAGAGGCTCTGGAGATTCAAACTCTCGGCCTTACTGTAACAAAGGATAATTTCACCACTGCACTATACAGCAAATTGTGTTTGCTTTAAGCAGTTTCTTGTTTTATTCTTTAAAACGGTTGTCTTCCATTTCATTTTTGGCTCACCGTTAATGAGATTATAGATGGTGATTATAAGTTAAAGAATTGAAAATTGTATGGCACATTGATTTTTTTTTTTTTATATATACTATGAAATCTAAGTATGAATATTTGAATGTTGATGTTATAGGTTAGATTCAAGTATGTTAGATGTTTTTACTATATGTTAGATTTAAGTGTAAATGTTCTGATGTTGACATTATATGTTGTATTCGAGGATGGACACTTGTCATTTTCATGTAGTGTTATATTTGATGTGAATGTAGAGAGCTTATTGAGACCTAAGAAAACTAAAAAAAATATGCATAATATAATAACTTTTTCCACGTATCCGGGCTAAACTAATTCGATCACTAACCCTTAACGCACTTTACCAATCGGGCCAGTGGTTTAAACCGGGTTGACAACCTTGTTCATAATACAATCAAATTTTTTTCACCAAAAAGAAAATAATACAATCACATTTTGTCACGATAGTTGCGAATTTCAATATGTTGTTGTGACAAATTGTACAGTTGTGACAAATGATTTTGACATAATAGTTTGTCATAATATCTAAATATGGGGTTCTTGTGTCAAATTTTTTTTGTCAAAATAAGTTTGTAATGGTGAACCGTTATTGTCATACTTATATTCCGGAATAGTCGGTATATTTTGTGATGACATCATTTTATCATAATCTAACATGTTAATTCTACCACTAGATCTGAAAATTATGATAAATAACAAGATTGTCATGAATATTGAAGGAATTACACAAAATATTCTACAATCTCAGTCATGATCCTTAAATAACAATCTTGCAGAGTAACATGTCATTCTATTCTTCACAATGCATCCATTTGTTTCACTTTGATAGACAAACCTATATTAAGTTCATCTTGAAAGAAAAGTTTCTACATACAACCAAAAGTTTTGACAAACCATGACCCATATATTCCCTTTTGTTCCTCCCGGCTCCCGCATTTAGCTTTCTCCAATTATCCTCCCTTCAACGTGGAACATGGGTTTAGAATAGTTGTGTTGCACACCAAAAAGCTGAACCAAAGTGTTTAACGGGCATTCTTAGGACCCTTAAGAAGCATATGCAAAAATTAATAAAACCTTAACTAGAACTTGACAAAATAGTGTATTCATAACCGAATAAAAGTATGCATACACAAGTTAGCAACAACACAAATTCCGTACATTCAACAAATGATAATTAATATGGGTTTCATATAACCACGCATCAAGTAACCTCCCCTAAACAGTATTTTTCATTCCTCTGCTATATGGTCTTAGATAAGTTTTTGGCTATAATCAAGTTAGAAAACCATCAAATTAGTCATAATCAACATAATGATTGAGATAATATTGTTGGGGGAAGAGACGGGCAGAAGTTCGCTCATAAAGTAAATTCTTCCGATGATTGCAAGAAACAAATAAAAATGATGTTCACCACTGAAACATGAGTGAGGAAAAGGAGGCTCTAGTTCATAAGAGGAGATCAAACCCAGTCAAGCCAGGGGCTATTGCTTACTGGTAGGGCTGGTTATTTGGTCCGGGCTTTTTGGTTTTACTCAAAACCAGATCGGGATCGGATAGCAAACAATCCATTCTCATATTCAGGCTTAGATTTGAGGTAAAAAACAGTTCGGGACCGGACCAAAACCATATATGAGAGCCCAACACCCAAAACTCCACTAAAATCTCCACAATCTCAATCTAAAATCAAGACCGAATTGGGACCGGACCGGATCAAGACCGGACTGTATCCACTCCAATCTTTGGTCCTTATATTCCCGAAAAGACCGGACTGAAACCGGATCAATTCGAGCCAATTTAACCGGACCGGACCGTATAACCACTCCTACCTACTGGGAACATAATGAAGACCGAACACCCAATGATTTATCAAGAGTGTGGACAATGGTTGCTTTATCGGGGGTTTTACAATTAACATTAGAGAGGGTATGATTACTCGTACATAGAGTTCTCTGAGATTGTGCAAGGTTTGAGACGCACTTTAAGAGTTGATGGCTACGATAAGTTCTTCTCTAGAATTATTCTCTTATTGACAATACACTTATCATGTGAGCCACTCACCACCATCCACACTACGGGTGCCGCGTACTAGAGATTAGGTGTTGGTTAGCTTACTCTTGACAATCAGGATTTGAGCATGTTTTCAACAAGGGAAACTTTGTAGCGGATTACCTCACATCTCTGCCTCTCTGGGGCATTCCTGCCGTACACATTTGTTGAGCATCAACGAGTGTGGTTATTTATTAGTTGTATTTTGATAACATTTTTCGTTGACGAAGAAAAGGTTGTGGCGCCCTTTGTTGAATTTTTTTTTTTTTGTGTGGAAGTTAATCTTTTTAAGTACATAAATGGGTCTCATAAGATGTTCTCTGTGTCACGGCAAGTTCAAAGGGGTATGGTTTGAGGGTGATGATTCGCATTATTGACTACAAAGATTATATTGGCTTTGCTAGCTACTGCAATTTGGCATGCGTTTAGGTCGTGTTCTGTAATGTATTATATATTTTTCTCCTTAAAATATATAAGATAAATAAAATGATCTCTATTAAATAGTATGAATAAGTCAAATGGAACCGTCATCGTACATTTTACAATAATGACGTTTTCTTTTCTATTCACCCTGTAATGTATAGCTTCAAATTCCAAAAGTGGAAATGAAAATAAAAGAAACTTCGATTGATGAGATTAAAAATGGATCCTCGAAACCCCAATAAAAAAAGTTAGGCCAAGCAAAATATCCAATTAGAATTTTGATTTTACAGAGAAAACTCATTCAAGAAGCCAACCCCAAAAAATACAAGCCCAATAACAATATTCAAGCCCTATGTGATAAAGCAAATAGAACTAAATTCATTTACTCGTAAGCCTGGATGGATTTGCCCGACGTTCAGTTTCTTCTTCCTTCTTGTTCCCTCATCGCTAGAAACAGATAAAAAAGGCTTAATTGCAAGTTTGGTCACTCGAATTGCTTAAAAATTTCACGTTTGCCACTCGAATTGATTTATTCCATTTATAGTCACTCGAATTAGTTGAACAGTCCAAGTTCGGTCACTCTCCGTTAACCTCCGTTAGACTCCGTTAATGACGACCGTTAAGTGATGACGTGGCTAACAGAAAGACACAGTCAACACATTTAAACATTAAAAAATGACGACCCGACCCGCCAGCTCAGCCTTACCCGCCCTATCAGCTATTCTTGCCCAACCCGCGAACCAACCCAATTAATTGACCCTAAACCCAAACCCGAGACCCAACCCCCCTGAAAAGTAAATCGAAAACAGATGGTTAGGGCATTTCCCTTCCTCCATCTTCGTCCTCTCATCCTCCCGCGCCACCTCTCTCCATCGCACACCATCGAAACTCGCCGTCGAAGGGATGGAGGCCGCCGCCCTGAAGCTGTTGATGACGACGGCGATGACTATTTCTTTTACGGCTTCGTGAAGCTTGGTTCTCGATCTGCCGATATCGTGAGTAGCCATAAAAAAGAAAGGTTATGCCTTTTTCTCTCTTTGTAAAGAGAAATTGGAAACGGAGTTTTGGGTTTGACGGTTGTGCTTATACTCGCCTGTAGAATTTGTTTGTATTAGGAGTTGACGGTTTTTTCTTTTGATTTATGTTTGGGCTGTACCGTTGGCGGTTAATTGGTCGTGTTTTAGGACTCTAGATTTAGGTGTCGGAGTGACTGAGGCGGCTTGAGTCGGTCGCGATTTCTGGAGGGAATGGACTTTTTCCAACAGAATTGGGATAATGAGTCCTTTTACTAGGAATGCTTCTGTTCTGGGTTCAGCCGAAGGTCGCAGTCGGAAACTCCGAGGAGGAAGAACAGACGCGGGAGGGGGAAGAGATTCAGGGCGGCGGCGCGGCGGCCTCCATCCCTTCGACGACGATTTTCGATGGTGTGCGATGGAGAGAGGCGGCGCGGGAGGATGAGAGGAAGAAGATGGAGGAAGGGAAATGCCCTAACCATCTGTTTTCGATTTACTTTTCAGGGGGGTTGGGTCTCGGGTTTGGGTTTAGGGTCAATTAATTGGGTTGGTTC